TGTAAAATCTGTATGTAGCTCTTCTGGAGCTTGCAGTTCATCTGCCCTCTCTGTATTTCTGCGTTTCTTTGAGAGCTGCTATTACTTTACCCTTCCCTCTCCAGGCTAAAGTGTTTCTGATCTGTACCAGCCCGTATAAAAACCCAGCAAGGAGAAACACTCTCTGCTCTCTTTCCATAAACTGGTAAACCTCTTCCTGAGACTTCACAACCCTTTGGAAGCACACAAAGTACATTTCATACTTTCCAGGTACGGTGCATGAAAATTCTGCTAAGTAAACACTATAAAGTAGGTTTTGAGAAAATATTAGTCACCATTATGCAATTCCAAAACCAAAACCACAAATAAAGTGCTAGTATATTTTGTTTTATTGGTTGTGACTGCAAATACTGTGTACACAAAGGAAACCTTTGAAAACCAACCAGTTTACAATTGTATGCATTTTACTCTTACAAGGCAATTTGTCTAGTAATCTTAGTGTTAATTTTTTTCATCTGGTTGATCCACCGGACAGCGATTTCTGTAACACATCTGAAAAACCCACAGAAGAACCCACAGAAGATGATTTATTGGGGAGTTTTTTTGCTTAGCTCATTCTCCTTTTTTATTATTAAATAATCTTACCTGCCCTTTTTTTTTGTCTTTGCTATTAAATATAGTGAAAATGATGTTTTCATACACTGTCCTTTCAAAGCTTTCGAAGTAGATACAAGCAATGTGCACCCCATTAGAGAAGAAAAAACGCACCAAGTACCTAAATCCTAATTTTTGAGGCCTGCCAGAGCTGCATCTGTTTAAACATGTTACTTGTGTGCATGTGTACAGTACAGGAAGCTGGAGTGCTTCTCAGAACTGCCTCGAGTTGTATCTTTTTTATTCTTCTCTTTCTCAAAACAATTTTAAATCTACAAGAAAGGTCAGGGAAGGTCACGGTTCCTGACCCAATGCTGAACTGAGGTTGCCTGTACCGTCTTTTTGATGCTCCGACCAGGGTCACTGAACTGGGGGTTATTATTGGCTCCCTGTGTCTATGAGGCACAGCCTATCCCAAACAATTTTTAAATTACCACTGGCATGAGACTGTCAGGAAGGATAGTAGCTGGGAATGTCTAGACACTGCCGCCAAGACAAGCTCCCCTATAGTGGAGACACCGTGCACCGAGGGGGGTCAGAGAGAGGGGCCGGGGAAACTGCCCTCGCGCCCCCAGGCTGAAAGACAAAACTCCCACCATGCGCCCCGCAATTTGCTCCAGGGGTTTAGCCAAAGAATTTCAGATAAGGAAATCTATAGGCCTTACAACTGGGAGAATTTTTAACTGCTTTATTGCTTTCCATAGATTCTAAAGCCAGCTGTCTGCTTTTATGAGCTCTTTAAATCACGCATCACGGTATCTCTTTGCTTCAGTCACACTGAACTGTCTCTGAATTTATACTGATTCTTCTTGACTTTATTCTTCAGAAATTAACATTGAGCTATGATTTTAAGGTTGCAGCAAAGAATTCGTGTCCTTCTGCAAAGCTACAGCACTTTCCAGCACAGGTCAGCTGTGTTTTCTGGTGTGTAAGATACAGAGGGGTCACGGGAGATTTTAAAGGGCCTTTTTCCTGTTCATCACCCTGCTTAAATAGAACTGATAGGGAAAAGAGAGATTAAATCCACTTTCTAACCTTTCCAGCTCAGTGTCTGTGTTTTTACCTTGGGTTTCACTGGTTTAATTTTTTGGGGTTTTTTGTTGCTTTTTTTTTTTTTTTAAGGAAATTTCATCCAAAATGTGCTGACAACTTATTTAATAATGATATTTCCAAATTTATTAATATCATAAGTCACACATTAATAAACACCATATTATTTATAACAACAGAACTGTTATTTTGAACTTTATGCTGAAGGATATTTTTAACAGAAAAATGCCCTTATCAGTCAGGTTAGATTGTATCTATTACTAAGCTTTCACCCCATTTGAAACAAATCTAAAACAATATTTTTAAATAGAAATTAATTTTAATTGAGAAGTTACTGTTTATTTTTAAAAGCTCTGCCTTCTGACAGATATTTAAGAGATATGGTGTCTGTAATACCTAATTTAGCTGCAGAGAGCAGAGGTATCTGCCATAATGCTGCAGTTAATGAAGAGCTGATAAAAGCTCTCTGATTCGTGGCTGCATTTAGGATGCAGCTGATGTGACCCTATGCACAAGTACTTTAGACTTTTCTCCTACTAATCTATAACGAATAAGAAATGTTGCACAAGTGAATATACCTTAATCTGTCACTTGCAGCTTAGTTTGGGTTAGCAGGGACGTTAAAGCTCATCCAGTTCCAACCCCCTGCCACAGGCAGGGATCCCTTCCACTGGAGCAGGTTGCTCCAAGCCCCTGTGTCCAACCTGGCCTTGAGCACTGCCAGGGATGGGGCAGCCACAGCTTCTCTGGGCACCCTGTACCAGCGCCTCAGCACCCTCACAGGGAAGAGCTTCTGCCTAAGAGCTCATCTCAATCTCCCCTCTGCCATCTTAAAGCCATTTCCCCTGGTCCTGTCACTACTGGTCCTTGTAAACAGTCCCTTTCTACATTTCTTGTAATCTCCTTTTAGAATTGGAAGATTGCTCTATGGTCTTCCTGGAGCATTCTCTTCTCCAGGCTAAACAACCCCAGCTCTCTCAGCCTGCCTTCATAGCAGAGCTGCTCCAGCCCTTGGAGCATCTTCATGGCCCTTCTCTGAACTCACTCCAACAGCTCCACATCCCCCTTGTGTTGGGGACCACAGGGATAATCTACATGCCAGTGGGTAAAAGACTTTCCATTCACGTTTGATTTCTTAACCCCACATTTACTTATTTACACTGTGAAAGATTCAACATAAAGCACCTAACACAGCAGAACTCCAGTTCCCTGTTACCTTAGGCACATTGTAGTTAAGCACACAGCAGACTTTAACACAGAGCAGTAAGGACATCAGTTTGCTTAAAATGGAGCAGTAACTTTGTTTAGCACACCTGCTACAAAGTGCACTCTCTCAGCAACTGAAACGTCAGTGCTCTTTGTCACCAAGTAGAAAACAGCCTAACACAGTCAAAGCCAAATTTGCAGCATAAATTAATTTACATTTCAGTCATTAGCTTGTGTGAAATTTAATAACAAAAGAAAAATAAGCCAAAAAGATAATACTACACATGCTAATAAACTTTTAAAGAAATCAGTGGCATTAGGGAAGTGACAGTTCTTACCTTGCTCCCAGCAGTAATCTTTCAGTTAAGCAATTATAGCATCCATGCCTAAGCCACAGACTGAGGACTGCATATGAATGTATGGGATGAAAGGAAAGATACTTCCACTCACGTACTGCTGCCTTTGAGCCCATCCAGAGCATCTCTGAGGGTGTACTGCAGGACAGTGGTTTACAGTCACTAAGCTTATCACAGTCCTCAAAGGTCACAGGTAAAACTCTGCTTTTGAGGTGGCATTTTGACAGAAGGGAGTAGCTGTGATGTGACTCTTCCATATCCTGCTGGTACCCCAGGGGCTTTTCCTACTGCCAGCTGCCCACATATAGGGTAGCACTGGTGGGAACAGCCAGGAATACAGCCTGCTGCAGGCTCTTGATGACTGGGGAAAGAAGAGCTGTCACACAAAGTCTGAGGACAATTTTTACCTCTTCCTTTTGCTGAGTTATACTGGGAAATTAATGCATAGTAAGTAATGCACTTCAAATTCCCCACATTAAGATTAGCTCATTCTATGGACACAAAGATTTTTTAACAAGACAGTCTTGTTGCTCTGTTAATTTGGTCCATTTTTGAACGTGGTCTCTTAGCTGTCAATGAAAAAGATGCTTTTGTGCTCTCAAAGGGAGTTAATCAAGAATAGTTGAGGCAAGGCTGGTTTCAGGAGTTTGCCTTCATATGCTGGGATTTTCAGCCCAAGTAGGTCTACAGGTCAGTGTATCTTGCATCTCTTCTTTTTACATCCTGTAATAATGATGTAATAAACTAGCTATTTTCTAAAGCTACATTTGGCTGTGAAAAAATCCTGTTTCAAACCAAGCCTCTTTATTATAAACTCAAGTACAGCTTTGTGTGGCAACAGATCCCATTTCAGAGGATGCAAGAAAAATCAGACTGCTTCCCTTAAGGCAAATGTTTGCAGAGAAGTATGTTGCTTAGCTATGACCTGCCTATTACTGCTTCAACCTGTTAAGATCAGGATGTAAGCACAGATGGTAATAAGGAGTCTTTTGTGACTGCCTTCCCTGCTCACCCCGATGGCTCCTCTCTGGTCCATCACATCAGAGCTGGCAGAGGTGCTCGACGGCTTGCACTGCTGCCTGGCCACCAGGTCACCTCTCACTTCCCTGAATTCTATGGATAAACAAAAGTGACAAATTGACCCAACCTAGAGTTTTTTTCTAATTCCCCACCTGTTATCTTCCCTATACAAGAACTTCCCTTTGACATGTATTGCCCTCAGAAGGATTGACTCTTTCCAGGACTAAACATTTCCTCCCTTCCAAAGAGCACAGGAAAATACTTGAGGCAAAAGCACAAGAGCTGTTATTCTCTGCCACATACAGATACTTCCAGTTTCAAAAGAAGATAACTTTCCCCAACAGAACTGTTTCAACTTTTGAACTGTTTCTCCATCCACAAGTAACAGCACTATAGCGAGCCTTTTGCACTGTGAAAACCAGAAGTAGACTCCTTGGCTAACTCAGCCCACAGTACTGCTTGCTGCTTCTGTCCTTCCTTCTGTAAAGGCCTCTGCTCTGGAGAATCTTATTTATAGGCAACAACATAATCCCAAAATAAAATGAAGTATCACAAACCACCATGAAGAAACTCACCAAGCAAACACACAGGCTCACCTAATGAGCTGATTTCTTACATCCCAGCTGTGGCAGGCACGAAGTATTTATATTAAAAACACCTGGTGCACAAAACCTGAGAAGAGGCACCATTGGTAGGTAATTCTTATCTTAACAAGGGAAGTGCTCTCAGGTGTGTGGGGTGGGAGGGAACACTGGGTTTGCCCCAGTGCTGTTAAGATGCTAAGAGTGGTCTGTTTGTTAGGTTTTGTTCTAGTGTATTGGTAGGGTTTCTGATGTTGGTTGCTGTGCTTGTCCTGTGGGTAAGTTCATGGAGAATTTGTAGAGTGCTAAGTATTCTTCTTGGTTCTTCTCATCTTGCTTTTTCCCCAGGTGCCTGTGTGAGGTGTAAGAGTAAGCTGATTGTGTAGATGCAAAGAGAAGCCTGTGCTCTGCTTTGTAGGAGCCTCATCTGAGGCAGAGCTGTGATATCAGGAGTCTGGGGTGGGCAGTGGTGTTGCTCAGAGGCAAAAGAGGTAGGGATGACTGGGATGGTCTGTGTAAAAGTATCTTTATTTTCCACATGTGTTTAGATTTGCTGAAATTAAAGGTAAGAAGTCTGAGTAAAAGGGGCTTCCTTTAAAAAGCTATATTATTAACCTATGAACTTAGTATCCCAGAAAATCCTGGCATTGTTTCAGGAGTCAGAGGAAGTTTTGAAAGGTGTGTGGGTAACTAGAACATCCAGAACACCAGAGGAGATGTTGCACTTCTCCCCTGGGCCATGTGCTAGTCTATGCTGGGAGCTGGGATGAGGTTTCTCTGTGGGTCAGTGTTGGTATCTTCTCTGTACTGGTTGTGATGCGCACAGTTGAAGGGAGCAACCACCACTGACCCTGCTTTATCTGGCAATTTTATCTACCCATGGCAGAGACCCAACCTCAGTTATAAGGCAAACTCTTTGTGCTGCTAAGGAAAAATTCATGTTAGTTATATTCTACAGTTACAAAGCACCCATATCTAACAGAGGGTATAAAGGAGCTTGTGAAGAACCATCCCAGAGCCTTTCCCTGCCTAGGGAGCTGCAGGACTGTCTTATCTGCACGTTCTTTCCTTCTCTTTATTTCTTCTTTTTCCCTCTTTTTTTCCTCCCTAGGTTTCCATATTCTTGTTTAGACATAAGTTTACTGTGTCACTGATTTGATGCATGAATAATACACTTGATGGGATGGAAGCGTGTATATTCTTTTTTTCCTCAGAGGCTGTATCTTGCCCTGGTTGGTGTTCTCTCCTGGGCAAATATCTCAGTGTTATGGATAGCTTAAAAATTCACATGGAAGTTGCAAAATAATTGTAGCAAGAGAGTAAAATACAGCAAGTAAGAGAAAATGAATGTTTCTCAGTCACAGAAACCCCATGCTTTTAGTGAAGAAATGCACAGCAAGAAACAGAAAGTTGCAGGGTTTTTTTTTGTGGGGTTTTTGGTGTTGTATTTTTCAAGTTTAAGTGTTTTGAAATTAAAAGAAATCCTTATAATGAATGTAGGGAGTAAAATGCTAATAGTTTATGTAAGAACAGTTGTCCTTTAACATTGACTTTTGGAAAGACTTTTACAATTATCTCACGTTTTGTATATGAAATCGCTTGCACACCTAAATGCAGATCAAATCTTAGAACATGCTGGGTTTTCTTTCCTTATGTGGTCAGAAAATGTTCAGTGAAAAAACCTTAAAAAATAACCACACTTGAATGGTGCCAGATTGTTCCAATCCAGGTCACTTGATTTCAAGCTGCAACATTTAGTCTGTTGTTTTCATGTTTGTTTTGTTCTGATTTCTCCTGTATTGATTACTGTTAGCTCACAGTAAACTAAAGCTGAATATAAGTGTGCACAACAAGTTTTGTCTCCCTTCATAGGCTGCAAAGTAAAGACATTTTTTTGCCTAATCAGATCAACCCCAAAGCTTTCTTATTACAGTGATAATTCAAAACCAGGATCTTTTCATGGAAGCAAAGTATTGTACTGTATAGCACTGCCATAGTATAATTTCACTTATTTTTGTTGGACTTCTATATTCTGTTTTTTACTTTTTAAGAGTACTTCAGCATATGATAATATTCATATTTTATGCAGGGAAAAAAAGGGCTTCAAATAACTAATTTTCATTCTTTAACTCATAAGAGCAATTTCTGTTATAATACAGCAGTTAGAATTTGCTGTAAATCAAATCCATGCTAATTATATTGGGTGTGATTTAAGGAATGTAATCCCTATTATTAGCATGTTTAATAAAAAAACCCTTTGAATTCTCCCTGTGCATGACTATCAGATCTGTTAGCTCTTAAGAATTTAGTTTCAAGTCTAATACACATTTCAAAATAATTAGTATTTTAGTGATCTTCATAGTAAGTTGTATTTGGTTTGAAGCTTCACTTGGGTGATACATTTTAAAACAAGGTGAGGAGTCTTGTTAGATCAAATGCAGACTAAATGCTCCTAAATGGGACAATTCCCCTAAATCATTAGAGATAGCCAGTGTCAGTCTCTTGCCCTCTCACCTCCCTCCAAACTTGGAGGATAGAAGCTGATTTCAGCATGTAATAGGAAAAATTAATTCAAAAAGCCTGTGGAACTGGATATGCAGTTTGACACTAGCTATTCAAGAGCAAGAATTCCTAATGTAAAATTAGGGCAGTAAAGTGGCTTTGTCACAGTTTCTTCTTGTGCTGATACTCCAAACAAACACACTGCATGGTACAGAGAAAAGGCTTTTAAAACCCCCTTCTTTCCCTTAACTTCTCGTCACTGGTCAGCTGTGATTGTGTGCTTCTACCTATATGACTAAAATTACACTTCTTTTACTCGGATTTTAAACTCTTAATAAGGCGAATTTGATCAAACATGTTTTAGAAAATGATACAAACAAAATGATACTCTAAGAATGTTAATACTTGACAATGGTTTCTTCCCTTTAAATATTTTTTCTTTTCACCTGTCTTTTTAAGATACATTCAAGTGTAATTTGAATTAAAGCAGATTCTGTGATTAATTGCTTTCATTAGATAATACAGAGTAAACTTGAGCAGGCTATTTTAGCATTTTTATCTCTATCAGTGCTGTAGTTCAGCAGACAAATTAGCATCAGATCAGACAATTCTCAAAGCATTCGGTTTCTAAAATCAGTGTTCTAAACCAGCTACATTATTTTTAGAAATTAAATGTTATCTCATACATTAATTTATTGGGGGAAGCAATAATATAAACATTGTTTCAGCCCCACAGATTTTTATGTTATACTTTAGGATTTCACACAAGGTATATAAAGTGTCCATTTTGTCTCTCTGTGTTCAGTCTGAATTTAATACTAATTCCTATTGACTCAGTTTCTTCAAAGTCTGTAATAAGCTGATTCTTTGTTGTTAATTTTAATGTGGGTGAGCTTAATTTTTCAGTGGACAAAGAAGCTTATGATAAGTAGTTGTGAAGTTAAATAGAAAACCCAGGGAGCAATATTTATGAAGAAGGGTGGCCAAATGCATTTAAAATGCAGACTATTTAAGACATTGCGAACCAGTAAATCCTTTCTATTTTCTGGTTAGCTACAGCAGCAGCTGGTGATTTTTCAGTTTACAGGTACAGTATCAGTAGCATAGCATTTATTTTGTGACAAAGGAATATAAGTTGCCTTGGAGATTTTTAATTAACTCTTCTCCTGTAGCTCTGCCTGCTTATCATTTCAGTAGTTATTTAAGCTTCACATCAGATTTTGGATGTTGTTCTTCAGAAATGTCTTCTTAATCTCCCCAAATTAGCATTTCAGCAAAACAATGTTTCCATAATGCACAATTCATTCCACCTTTTTTTAAAGGTACTGTTAGCATTTACAATCATTGAGCCTTGAAAAGTAGAGGAATCCTAAAGAGGGGAACCTGTATGAATTCTGCAGCTAAAACAAACGTCTATTCTCATTCTGAACAAGAGAAGTCATGGTGATTACTTTCCTACCTTTCATCAGACTAAGATACTTCTTAATCGGTTTTTCTGATTTGTTCTTGTCAATAAATTCAGGTGATTAAATAATTTTTTGAGGAATTGGGATTGCTCAGACTATGTAATTCTGTATTAGCAAATAAATTTACCTTGCAGAATCTTCACTTGCTTATTGCCATTTTGCAAAGGCTAATTCTCTCAACCAAGTGGGTAAAAAGATGCATCTTTTTTATATACATAAAAATAAACAAGAATAAAGCTGGAAGAGACAGAATGTACTGCTTATGACAGTCACATACCCAGATGTAGAAGTCTTTTCCCTATACTGTTCTTTTTAAAAGTATGAAATTTACTATCATCAGACCTGTTAATGTCATTCAACTAGCAGCTGGGCTTTAGGGGCTTTTGGTTTTTTTTCAGCTGAATTATAAATGTCATAAATGCTTCCAAGAATATAGAATCGGAAGCCTTTTCTACCCTGAAAATGGAGGGATGACTTTAAGCAAATATGATTTACAGATACAGGGTTAATGCCATAAGCTAGAGGGAGCTCCACCACAACGAAATACAAAGGTTCAGCTTCATTTATCAATGTGCTCTCCTGGCTTTGTCTGCTTCTGAACATAAAAGACCCAGTTTTATTGCAGATATTATCTACACCATTCTGTGATATGAATGTTATTGTTTAAACTGTTGCTGAGACATAAAACAGCTGAAACCCTCTACCAGCACCATATTTATGCCAAACCCTTTGATAAATACACAGTTCTTTTTGTTCACCATCACTGTCTTTGTCTTCATCTTAATACTCAGCCATCTTTAATGAAAATGCATCCTCTATAAATCCAGGGCACAGATATGCTTCAGGAATTGATCTTGTACCCTTAATTGTGCAAGTTAATGTCCATCAGTGGTGCAAAAATTCTGTCAAGCCCCAAGCTCAGTGTCTGCAGATCCTAATGCCCTCCTGTTTCCATTATTTCACAGTGCTCTTTCCAAAGTAATTTACACCACAAATTCACGCTACTGACAACCTCTTTTATTCCAAAAGCTTGGACTTTTAAGGAATGATCAGCAAAATGAGCTTAGAGTGGCCTGCTTTTAAATGAATTGTGGCTGTAATATTAATAACCTATTTTCTCCTATTGAGCATCTTGGAGACAAAGTAATCCATTAATAGTCCCACTAATTTCTAGTAAGCTTGTTACCTGTCCCATTGTATTGGCTGAAGGACAGTATTTGTTCATTATTAATTTTAGACACAATTTCAGTGGAAGAATGATTTGTATTTTATTTGCATCTCTGACTCGCCTCTCCACTGAAATTTTCTAGCCTACATTTGAGGTCCTTCCTTCTTACTTCCTGGTCCTTGATCTAAGCAGATGGTATTGCTCTAGTCATACAGATAATAAGAAAGCACCTAATATCTCCTCATTGATTTTTGTTAATGAAATACCACTTCACAGAGAAAGCAACAGCTGAAACCATCAAGGCTGGGTTGCGGCTGTGTGAATGAACTTCATTTTTCTCTATATTGGGTGTGTAACTCATAGTGAATCATTAATGAAATGAATTTGGCGTCTTTCCTGTTTGTGGAATACCCACAAGCAAATTATGACCTTATTTCACTTTTTTGGAAGCTGTATTATTGTTTTCTTCTGTGAATTTTAAAAACTTTCAGATGTAATTGACTGACTCTGTCCTCCCTCTCCATTAGCACAATGAAATGTGTTTGTTGGGCACAGTGTTGTTCCGTTGGAAAATAGGAATAAGCTCTCCAGACAACATTGCTGCAAATGTTTTCTTGGTATAAATTTAAAATTGCCTAATCAAACCCCTTGTGTTTAGCTAGCTGCTAGTTAGCTCCTTGTATCTGTAACCAAGTAACTGCAACCTTAAAACAATATGTAGGTGTTAGTCTTAAACGTGATTTGTTTTCTATGTTTGATGTTTCTTGTCCAACTTCTGAAGAATGCCTGAATGTGAAAGGCAGGATACCTTTGTCTCTTATATCTTATGGGAGACATGGACTTATTTCTGCTTGTTTTAGAAGTTGTGGCAAATTTACTGAGTTGTCCCTTACCCATAGCTATATAATTGTGCAGTATTTTTTATGCCTGTGTGCTTTTAAAAATCAGTGTAAGAAGCAAATGTGGCAAAAGCTAAAGTGAGCATATGAAGCCTAAGATATGAAAGCTCTTTAAGAAGCTGACAAAAAATGGAGACTTCTCCAAAATGGTTAAAAAAGAACATTAAATGAAAATTCACTTTTGGGTTGAGCCTTTCATGGTGGAGGTACCACCTCTACACAAGCCGTTTGTAGAGTGGAAATTCAAGTGTTGTGTTGCACTGGTGCATTTTCCAGCTTCCTGCAGTGGCTGTGGTTGCGAGATCAACCCAGTCATTTATGACTGCAGAACGAAAGGTAACCTCCATTAAGCATGGGAAGGGTGCTCCCCAGTACTGAGGATGTGTGTTTCATGAGGATCCTCAGTAAGACTAGTTGTCCCACACAAATGGATCAAAATCTCTTAGAGAGCCTATAATTTAGAAAGTCTATTCAGAGAACTCTAAGAACATAATTGTCATCACCATCAGATGCTGTCCCTCTGCTATTACTGAGGACTACACTGCATAATGAAATTACAGTTTTGCTTTGCAGTGTTTTCAGGAAAGAGGCATTTGAGGCCGGATCAGTAAGTTACATATAGCAGATCCATTTTGTGTTACAGGTTTACAGTATTGGTAGAGAAAAGAACTAAAGACCTATCATGACTTGTCAGGAATATCAGCTCAGGAATTGAGGCACAAGTACAATACAGCATTAGAATTAGAAGCTTTTCTGTCTCTTTATAGGTTTTTAAACTTTATTTACTGATAGAAGTTTGTTTTTGTTTTTTTTTTCCCAGGGGAATTTCCTTCTGCATTGCCACCAAGTCAGTCACCTGGAAGCAAAAAGGCACAGTCGTGTTCTGCCTTGTTACCACCCTGGCCATACACCTGAATATCTGCAGTACAGCCCCAGTTTTGCTGAGGAGATGGCAGTGGTGAGTAAACTAGAAATTTCTGTATATCCTACTTCTTACATGACACTTAAAGGAGAACTGCATGCTTCATTGGCAGTTGTTGGGTAACCTGTTGTCTTATCTTCACTGCCACACCCGGTTACTTTGATAAGCAACGTAATACCCTTTACCATGTTAGGAAAGCTTAGATGAACCATCATTTCAGATGGGCTCCTGTATGTGAAAGTAACTGAGATTCTAATAGTTACAGATTTGATATACTGATATGAAGACCCTTTCATTTCTAATTGAAAACACAAACTGCATAAAACGTTGTTTTAGTTGGGCATCTTGTTCTAATCTGAACTGATAAGAGTATTCAGACTTCAGTAGCTTAGGCTGCTATCAAAACTGATCAAATGAGTTTGCCAATCTAACCAACATCTGTTCATTCTGAAACTCCCTGAATTCACCTGCTGCTTCCTTTAGAAAACATTGTTGCCTGCAATTAACACTGTAGATTTTGTGATGCTGAATTTCCCCTTGCTTCTTTGTATCTTTTGAGCTTTAAATATTTGCTAAATACTGGAAAAAAACCTGATCAGAACGCTGGGGGTGGGGGGAAATTGCTTTACAGAAAGCAGTTGTTTTGGTACCTGGCATGGATAACATTGCTGTCCTTGTCCATCTCTCATTAATAACCTGTAAAGTTCAAAGACTAAGCCAGGTCCTGATCTATTGGAGAGTCGGTCTTTTTCTTAACTTTAAATTCATTAACAAAAGCCACAGTTCAGCAGGGTGCAATCTAAACCTTAAAACAATAGGAAAGAACAGTAATGCCTTTCCTTGTCTTTGGATCCCCATTGGTAGTCTCAGCAGAGAAAACATTATGTTTGACCTCACTTGCAGCACTGTCAGATCAGAATAGCAGGGCTGAGCTTGATTCAGACCTCTGCTGACACTGCTGATTATGCTTTGGTATGACAATGATTCTAAATTAGATCTGACTTGGATGCCAAGGAGCAAACAGACAAAAGGCTAAACCAGTTTCTGTAGCTGTCAGAATATAAGGAGAGCTTAGACTGCCCTTTTCTGGTCTCTTACTCTCCCTACCAGCTCAGGGGAAATAAGTAACCCATAGCCTTTCAGCTTGGAGGTAACAAGAACCTCACGAGGCATCTCAGGGTGATGCTTCAGCCCAGGACAGTGACTGCTTTGCTAAAAGAGGGCGCTAATTTTGGCTGCTGAAGAGCTTTGGGATAACCCCTTACTCGGGTGAAGCCCAGAAGGTTTCTTGACCAGAGTTCAAGCCAATGAAAAACATTAAATGCCTGCTTAATGTGCTATGTGTTAGGAGGTGAAAGGATATAAGGCTCATAGCATTAGTTCCTGAATTGTTTGGTGATCCTGAGTACAATTACTAGGCAGTAACATGCAGTTCTTGGATTTATACTGCATTTGCTATCCAATTGCAAAGTAGATATGATGCTAAATGAATATGTAGATATGATGCATAATAAAGTGATATCCTGTTTTGGAAGCCTTTCCCAGTGGAACTTGAACAGCTAGAAAAAAAACATATGCAAGTCAATTCTTTTGTTCTTGAGTAAGAAGGAATAAAACCCTGCAGTGTGCTTTCATTTGGGAGCAGCCCTGCTCTCTTTTACCTGTCAGTACCATGGAAGGTGTAAAGTCTCTGTTGTGATACCCTCACTGCATGCTATTTTTCTATGATGTGGTGCAACAGCTCCTGTCCCAGGAAAGCATAGAAACATTCATGTATGGCTGATGTTGAACCAAAGACAGGGAACACTCCCTGTCTCCATAACTGTAGCGAGGTTGTGTGTTGGTTTGGATTTCTACCTTTGTTTTCAGTCACCTGGGAAAGAAGTGGTGTGTCCATGTTCCAAGTATGTGAGAAGTTTGCTACTCAGTGGGGAAGTAAAGGTCAGCATATTCCCAAACATCAGCTGTTCTGGGAAAAGATAGACTTTTTTAAAGGGAAGGTCAGATCTTGCCTACCTTATTCATTACTGATTCTGAGTGGGAGTCCTGGCTTAGTAAAGAGCACAGGGTCAGGGTTTGCTCACAGATGGGACCTTCTGAATGCTGAGTGGTACAGTTCTGATAATGGGGGAAGGTGCTGAAAGTTTTAGCAGTGATGTTAGTGACTGCAGGGTCAGTCTTTACAGTTGCCTGCATATGGGTCAGATCTTCACCTGGGGGGAGGGGGGTTAATGGAAAGACTATTATCTGCTTCAGTGGGCTCTGGAGCAGGCTCTGGATGAGTGGCAGATCCTTCTCAATAAGTGTGCAAGAAATGTTTATCCTTCTGAGAACTCTGACTACAGAAGTGGTGTTAATTTGCAGGTCAGGACATTTGTTTCCAGCAAAATGTCTGAACTTGTTTCTTAAAGGACTCTAATTTCTGTAACACAAAGGCAAAATACTTAATTTGTAAGCATCCTTAAGGATCTCACAAGAAAACAGGCTTCTTAAAGTATCTTTTCCTCTCTCAACTTGAAATAAACTTTCCAGGGTAGGTGTTCTAAGAAAAACATTTTTGGGGTAACAAGTAGCAAAATAAAACTGATGTTTTCCCAACAAGCCAGGGCTGCCCACAGAAATGTTTACCAACATCTGACTTGAGACTCTGTAATTGTTCTTCGGTATTGCCTTAAATGTATACTAGAAAGGAGAATTTCTCAGTTCTATGCCTTTGATAATCTCTAAAGCCTTTTATCTGAGGAATTCTCTCTTGAAAATGTTTTGTTGTTTTATCTGCTATTTAATATTATTTCAACATTAAGAAGTTATTACTGGCTTTATAAACAAACGTGCAAGAAGCAAACCTTAGAATATGTTACTAAAGTCCAGGAGCTAGCCATCATTTTGGTGTCACAGTTAACGAATGGCTGTAGGAATCAATGCTGCCTGAAAGGCTTTCTAAAAGGTAATTTTAGAGGTACCTGTTTGACAACCTTCAGTTTGTTTTCTGAGTTTGCTGAAAAGTCCTGTTCAAAGCCTTTGTGAAATGCCTTAAAACAGTATTAGAAGCTTTTAAACTGTGTTTGTTTCTTTGGCATATATGATACTGCCTTTGCCTTCTGATACAACCACTTGGGATGCAGCCTCATAATGCAGGTTTCCTGTCATACTGGCACCTAGCAGGTTGCCATAGTGACAGACATAAGAAACATTACTTCAGAAATGTTGCTTTATTACAGTTAAAGTGCATTTTGAGGAGGGATCAGATTTCAAGTTACTCCCTGTGTTTTATATAGGAATAAGCAAAATTACTGGCTTCTACTAATAAGAATTAGTTTGAACCTGCACATCCCCCAACATACGTTCAAAAGTACGTTGCAGTGTTCTGTGTGTGTTTTCCACCGCTTTTAAGTAAAATAGGCCAGTATTCCTCTCTTTCTCTCTCTTAGCACATGCACAAATGCACTTTGTTGCTTTGCTACATTCAAAACCGCCTCCGCTTTCCAACAGTCTGAGAAGTGCTAAGTCATTGCTGCCTTTGACATGTTGTATCTTTTATTTATAAAGAGCATCTTCAAACTCCATTGATTTTGTTCACATTAATGTAGAAAAGACACAGAGGGGGACATCTGGGGAGATTTCTGAAGTATTCCTGGCTATGTTGTGTTCCAGCAAATTAATCAAATAACAAGCATTTTGTAAGCAGCAGAGCTGCCTAGCAGCCCTGTGCTGAGCAATCTCTCAGATCTAAGATGGGCTTCCCCATGTGAACACGAAGCCCATGGAGATTCAAGCTGAAAAGCTCATCAGCCATCCTCTCCCCCCGCAGTGCTGCTCCATCACACAGCTGGGGCAGCCCTGGGGCTATCAGCATCCCACCTCTCCACTGATTAAACCTATCCCCACCATTTTGCCTAATAAATAAGATGAAAGGGTGCTCTGGTGAGGGGGAGGAGCTGGGGCACAGCTTAGAAACAGGTGAATTGAAGGTTTGCAGCAGGAATGTTCAGCCCCCCGAGAGCTCTCTGCCATGGGCTCCTCTTCCCCACAAGGCAGATAGCTAAGATGTACCAGCAACATTACCTGCCAGCTAGTGAACAGCACTCTGCTCTAAAGCACCACTGAAAGGCCTGAAGTACTTCCTTTTAGGTATTTGGAAGTGTTCATTTAAGTGGATGTACAGTGCTCTACTCATCCATCTGAGAAGCAGTTGCATTGCAGCGCACCTTTTGCAAGCATGCGTGAGTGCAGAGAAATGTTAAATCTACACCTTCTTGAAAGCTGCACCTCTTCATTCCCTCTTAAACAGTGCATTTCTGTATGCAAGTGGTAAGCAGTCAAACCAGTTTGAAAGTATAACTCATGCCTCATGACCATTGCTGACTATGCATTTAAAAACATACACCACAAAAAACACCCATGTTATCCCATGTCTGATAGTTGTCCTGTCCAGAAATACCTTCATAGAACAGTTGGCAATTGTTAGTACCATTGTGATGAGCTGATTGACTTCCTAGCATAAGACGAATACAGGGCAGAAAGATCCTACTACTTTTTGAAACAAAGCTTTGTTCTTTTGACATCTTTTACTTTCTGTTTCTAAAACTCATAGGCAGAAATTATTTCTTTTGTAGTAGATAGCAAAGGCTAAAGGCCATATTCAAATCCTATGCCCTATGTGCATCTAGTTATAATTATGCTGATAGCTCATACTAACAGTATAGTCACAAAGTAAAATGTTGATTTTGAGCCTATCCAGCACACTCCTTCCAAAACATACTGTCCAAGTCAGATTCCTTCAGAAGAGAATAGCCTTACTGTTCTAACAGCTCCTTCCTTCCCGACTGCTGTGACCCCTTGTTCCCTGCATTGGGAACTCTAATGAGTTACTCTAAAATTCCCCCAGTGCACCCCATGCCGTGAATGTTAATGGTGTTCCTATTACAGAGATTAGACTTCTTATTTTACTTCTTGCTCATTCCTCATCTTTCTACTTAAGCAGACATGACCCTATTTCCATTTATTTAACACAGGTCTTCAATTACCGAGACAAG